CTGTCTGGATAATTAGCACATTAATGATGTCGCTCGCAAATTAAAGCCACAGGCAGAATTATCTCCTTTGGTTTTGTGCAACAGGGTTTAAAATCCTCCCTTTTTTATGCGTCAAAAAGATGGGAACTGAATCCAAAACCTGATGGGAGCAACAAATCTAATTTATGTTACCTTCATGTCTCCAATGACAGTCTGGAAAAGCCCCCCCAGCGCGCTGCACTCCCTCTCCATCACCGTCTCCATCTTCAGCTGTGTGAACGGAAATGACAAACACTTCAGCAGCTCCTGGGGTCCATGAACGAAGCGGAATGAGAGAAATTAGAGGGAGAAGTCCGGTAATAAGGCGGCTCAGATCCACGCAGCGGCAGTGGGGTTTCCCCGGCTGGAGGAGCCCAGGAGGCGGACAGAGGGAGCAGCAGAGCCGGTTAGTTTCCACCCGGAGCCGCTGACTCCCATGTCTGCAGGAGGAGGAGGAGGAGAGGCATGTTGGAGCTGAGGGGAGGAGAAGTGACAACTTTACACCCTCCCGTGTCAGGAGAGGGGACGGGGCGCGCTTGGGTCGTGAACGCGCCTGAGCGTGGCCCCGCCCTCAAATCGGCAAGGTGTGAGATCAGAGCGCCAATCAGGATGGTTTCCCTTCACCTTTACATGTGCAAGCTCAGAATAAATGCAATATTCACAGTTCAGCTATAATAAAATCTTGTACTTATCTGATTAAATATGCTGCTGGAACCAAATCAGGTTTCTTTAAAACTCTAAAAATGTTCAAACGCAAATTAAACCCCTAAAAGTGTAAATCTTCAATTGTTAAAGTGTAATGTTTTAACTGCACCGCCATCTAGTGGGTAATTTAGGCAAAACTCTACAAGCAAATATGTACTGTACAAATATTTGCTTGTACAGTCAAGTCAAACAAGTCTTTGCAGACATTTAACCAAATATTTAGGCCAATTGCAGCTTTCTATAAATATGCTGGTCAAAAAAAAAAAACACTTAAGTCTAATCAAATTTGTGAAGTACTCAAATACGAATATTTCATTGATTAAGAGTGAGAGTTAGCGTGCATTTAAGTGTTCCCTTTTTTTTTTTGAGCAGTGTAGAAACCCTAGATTTTGTTAAGACATGGCCAGATTAACTCTGAGAAAGCAGTTAAAGATGTAAGACATCACATCAAGACTTTGTTCCACACATGTTGAGCTACTTAGAACCCCAAATTTAGCCTTTGAACAGGTAACTCCGTTAAGGGAGGCCTGGGCTTGAAGACACAAGCTCAAGTTTCAATGTTTTAGTAATTACATTTAATTGCAATTTGTCAAGAAACCAAACACAATTGAAGTTCCAAGAAGAACTTTATTGATTTCAGATTGAAGCCACAACAGCAATGGCCATCCATGGCAAGACAGGAACCTGGGAAGAAAAAAAAAAATGGATCAAGTTAGGAATTTCTAACAAGTTCAAGCAAAAGTCAAACATGTCACTTACTAGGAGGCTACAGGTCGTTTTCCATGAGTAGATGCTTGAGGTTGACCAGACTGGAAGAGGGTGGATACTAAAGCAGTTTTAGAACTTCTTGGAGATGTTTTCTGTGCTGCCTTGTCAACCAAACCACCATATCTCTGGGAMGTACTGGAGGCTGGCCTTGGTTGTTGCTGCCTCAAAGGGTAGGATCCAGAAGCTTCAGGTCTAGACCCTCTGGGACCATGGGGGACGAGCAGTCTATCCCACACACCTTCTTTGCTCTGCAGCACAGCGGGGTTYGAGAAGACAGGGTGGTTCAGAGGCAGCCTGCCTGGATGAGTCGACCCTGGGGTCTGCAGCTTGGAGGCAGGGACAGTTTTCCATGGGTTGGGTTGGCCTTTCACTGGAGCTTCTGGAACCTGAGGAAAGCTGGCTTGTGGGTAAAAGCTTGGGGATTGTGCACTGGAACCCAGCCTGCCRTCCCAAAAGTTGATTTTGGTTTGCGGCACAGCGGGGTTTGAGAAGACAGGGTGGTTCAGAGGCAGCCTGCCTGGGTGAGTTGAACCGGACTGTGCAATGGATCCAGGCGCCTTATCCCATACACCAGGTATGTTTTGTGGCAGAACYGATTTCTGGGGCACTTCAGCTGGTGACTGCACACTGGAACCAAACACGCCATCCCACGAGTTGATTTTGGTTGCCGGCACAGCGGGGTTTGAGAAGACAGGGTGGTCCAGAGGCAGCCTGCCTGGATGAGTMGACCCTGGGGTCTGCAGCTTGGAGGCAGGGACAGTTTTCCACGGGTCAGATTCACCTTTCACTGGAGTTTCTGGAACAAATTTGGTTTGTGGATAAAACCCTGGGGACTGAGAGTCAAACAGACCAGCTTTGGGTTGAAGCACAGCGGGGACCGAGAACACCGGGTGGGTCGATGGCAGCTTGGTGTAGGACGYCCCTGCCTGGCGTGCATCAGAAGTGGGGCGGGACTGTTTCTCWGGAGTCTTCTCAGCTTGCATCACGATCGCGCCACTTGACACAACATGCGGCCGTTTTCTTCCACTTTCAGCTGCGGGTTCCCACAGTCTTGGTCTGCCCTGGAGGAAGCTACTTTGTGGCTGTTGTGCTTGACTGGGTTTGGACTTAAATGAGGCAGGCTTGTAACTAGGAACACTTCCACGTTGACTGTAACTATCTACCGGCCCGCTGAAAAAGTGACCTGGTTCGTGGCGACCAACTGAAGCTGTAGAACCTTCAGGAAAGTTGGCTTTGAAAGCTCTTGGATGCACACCATCATGACTTGAAACAGGACTGTAGGTCCTTGATGAAGGCCCCGTTTGTACATTGTGAGGTCTGTTTTCACTTCTATATCTGTAAACATTGCCTGGAAATAGAGGAAAAATAAGTCAACATACAAAAGTTACAAAGCTGCTTTAATAAAATAAAAAAAGTTACCTGATGCAAGCTGCCCATAGATGATCAGGGGGAGCAACAGCACCCTGGGGAAAACAAGATAAAAATTAAATGCATCCAGTGATAAAACATGTCCAACCAAAACAGGTTTAATTAACTTACCTCAAACAAAATCCAGAAGCCATCAGGTTTTTTGGAATCTGAAACAGCTTTGTAAATACCTGCTGTTTGTGACTAATCAACAGAAAGGAAAAACCCAGACTCAACTTCGTACCTGCTGCAGCCACGACAGCCCTTTTAAGCGCTGAAGCGACCAATCAGCTCTCACACTCAGGGTAATTGGAATCAGCTTGGAGTCATGTAATCTTGGGCAGGGTTTGACACTTCACACTAATTGACTGCTTTTCTCACAGCYGAGAAACTCAGTTTGTGGAGCTTCTCCTTAAAGTGTCGAACAAAATGTTTAATTGTATTTTTACATTTGCTTTTTGCGGTGATTTGTGCAAAATGACAAAAAATACAATTTAATTCAATATAACTGAAAATGACTGCAAAAGAAAACAAAAAAATCTTATGATTAAGAGTATTAAATATGATCATAACTGAGGGAATTCATCTCAAGTTGTTTTTTATGATTGWTTCAAACATGATTTTGATGATTCAGCTCTTTTGCTTTCTGAGCTGATTTCTGTCACTTTGTTACTGACTCTACTGTCAGCGGTGAGTTCTCTGCTTATTAATCAGTATCTTATATGGTTTCTTTGCACAAATGACCAGGCTTGGTTTAATGTTGTACTCATTTTAATCACGTCACATTATCATCATGCAAGCACTGTTTTACACCATATTTCCACATTACAAAGGAGCAGCCATGCGATGAAGAGAAACACCTTCAGTTCCACACAGATCCACATTTTAAATCAAATATTTGCCCAAACTAAAAGTTTTAACACAAGAACACATTATTTTGTTTTATTAGTATGAACAAAAAAATTGAACGCAATTTGATCTCAGTAGGGAAGCAATAAGACGTGAACTGATTTGGTAAAATGAACCAAAACACAGCATGTTTTATTAAAAGCGGGTGGCGTTARCTGAGTTTGAGGCCGAGGCAGAGAGCGAGTTCGTTCTTCTGGATTTTGCCGTCTCTGTTGATGTCGCAGTGACCCATCAGGGCTTTCCTGAACTTGTCCAGCTCTGCTCCGCTGATGCTGGGCTGGAGAGACGTGAGAGACCGGTGTCAAAGCAGAGGTCAGAGGTCACCATGTCTGCAGGGTTCTTAATGGACTTTGGAACATCCTGGATCCGTGCATCCAAACTGACTCTTATGCAGGATCATGGTCCAGCGATCAAAATCTAAAGTCACCATTCAACCCACTGAAGTGATTTAATTTTGGTTTTAAAAAACCTGCAGAAAGTGTGGCCTGGTCCAGCTTAAAAAATTGAATAGAAAAAAAAAACTATTTATAATAAAATTCACTTAATTGACCATATAATAAATCTGATTACATTCATTCATTGAGCTGGATTAAATTMAACGTCCTTTATTCCTTGTTAAACTTGTTAAATGTCCCTGTTTGTCACCCAAAATAGAAACTGGTGAAACAAAATACACTAAATCACTTTAAGAAATGGGAGAAAAGAAAAGTCAAAAATTATATTTTAACCACTCAAATATCTGATTGGTACAAATGTAAATGTTGCAAATTCATAAAGTAAATTACCTTGACAAGCTCCATCATGTCCTTCACAAACCCGTCCACCTCAGGGCCTTCTAACTCACCCGTCTTACTCTACAAACACAAATATCTGTTTAATTTGAAACTGCAMCCTTCTCAGCTTTATCTTAGAAGAAAACTTCAGCGTACACATAACTTATTATAAGGTTTAGATCTCAAATACTTAAATGTGTAAAAGGGGTGAATGAATGAAGCTTAATGCAGCACCGGCTAAAACTATCCTCACTTCAAAATGATCTTTGTGAAACATGATGCGCTACAGGTTCAGGAGAGGAACACTCACAACATCATAATGAGCAAAGATCTTCTCAAAGTCCCGTTTCCTGTCCTCCTGACTGCACGCCTGAAACCACACAGAATCCTTTTAAAGTCTTTGAAACAACATGAAACACAAGTTTCTTTGGAAAATTGTTTCATTTCTTATAAAGCTGAACAATTTTTTTTAATTTTAGATTGCAAATATAAAACTTTAATTTTAGATTTTAACTTACATCCATTTTAAATTTCAGTAAGAAGTTCTCTTTCARGGCCAAAATTCTGAAAAAAAGCAACAAATTACATGAAACAAATGTGTCATATTTGATTTTTAGTTTTATTTAACAATAATTTCTTGCAATGTAATGAATTAATTTGTTCTTTCCTGTCAAAAATGTCACAAATGATCCTAGTGTAAACAAACTAAAGTAAAATATGGAGGTTTTTAAACACAAATAAACTTTATTTAACTCTCCTCTCAGAGCGTACCTGGCCAGGTCGTTTAAATCCAGTCTGCCGTCTTTGTTTTTGTCAAACATCTTCATCTACGGGAAGAGAGATTTGAAAACATCAGTCAGCGTTCGGTCTGTGAGCAGCTCAGACGTCTGTTGATCTGTTACCATGGTGTCTGTGTACTCCTCCAGCTTCTCAGGGGTGATGGACTTCCTGTGCTGAAGGAACAGGTCCTGAAGAAAACCCTGAAACAACAACTAGTTTTTACAATAATAATATATTATTTTGCCCTAATGATATTAAAAATGTTGTAGAAAATATATTAAACTCTTCTTTAGCAGACTCGTTACCTTCAGCTCGTTATCTGAGATGTAGCCACTGCTGTCTGTATCATAGTTTCTCCAGATCTGCAACAGAAACTTCTCTAATAAAACAATTCACATCAAATATTCATCATAATGTGCAAACCTGAAATGTGTTTATGTTCTGGGAGACATTTTATGACACATTTTAGCTTAAATAAAAGAGAAACGGACATTTTAATCAGTTTTTTTGTTGCACTATATGAAACATTGAATGTGCACTGAAGTGAACTTTTAGCACAGATTTAGTGAAATCTTTTCATATTCAGCATTTTTGTTTAAGTCTATTTTTGTCTTTTTATGCTCCTTTTAGCTTTTAGTTAATGCCTTCATAATTTTAGCTTTTAGCCATATTTGCAATAATATTTTTTTTTAGATGTTCAGTGTGCATTGCCAATGCAATGCACACTATTGTGATTCGTTTCCCATCCAAGTCATCTCAACTTTGTCATGCTTCTCCTCCTGCATACTTTGTCCTAGAGCTGCCATTGTATTTTATATCTGTAAAGCCCCTGTGCCAAATGATGGCTATGCCTTTTGGTGCCTGTAAAACTTATAGTTTTTGAAATATTAATGTTTAATAAATTATAATGGTAGTCAAAGGAGCCTTGTATTAGAGCAATACTGCCCCCTGCTGCATCTACACAATATGGTACTGCACCATAGTTTCATAATATTTAAACTCAGTAGTTCAGTGATTACAATATTAATATGATTGTATTTTGATGGTTTACTATAATATTGTCTTAATACTGCTCTATTGTTGTAATATATTGCGCTTAAGTGTCAATAATTGCATTGGCAAGGTAAATGTTTTCTGATTAAAATACAATCCAATCCCTGGGATTGTCCTCTGCCAYATCTCCTAYAGTCTCATGATGAGCAATGTGGGCTTTCATGCAGGAGATCAGGGTTCAAATCCAGCTACTGCAACTTTAACAAAAATCTCTTCAAACTTCATATTKTCWCACAATTACCTTAATTACAAACACCTGCTGATGTGACAGACACAAGCTGGTTTAGAAAACACATTTGAACTTGGTCAAAGTTCATTCTGCAAGTCCAAGGCTCCTGCCTACTTTGTCCTACAGCTACCATTGTAATTTCTATCTGTAAAGGCCCTGTGCCAAATGACTGCTATGCCTTCTGGTGCCTGTACAACTTGTAGTTTTTGAAATATTAATGTTTAAACAATATTCCAAATTTATATAATGAGAGTCAATGGGACCTTGTAATGGTCAAATACTGCCCCCAGCTGTGCTCAACTTGGTACTGCACCATAGTTTTTTAATATATTTCATCTCAATAGTTCAGTGTTTACAATACTAATATGATTGTATTTTGATGTTTTACTATAATATTGTCTTAATACTGCTCTATTGTTGTAATATTATGCAGTTTAGTCTCAATAATTGTATTGGCAATGTGGCCTATTTCTGCACACATACAAAGCAACCACTGCCACCATCTTTCGCCAGAGCTCTATTGGTCTAATGTCATGGGCTTTCATGTCAGAGATCAGGGTTCAAAACCCAGCTACTGCAACTTTAAGAAAAAATCTCTTCAAACTTCATGTTGTCACACAATTACCTTAATTCTAAACACCTGCTGACGTGACAGGTACAAGCTGGTATAGAAAACACATTTGAACTTGGTCAAAGTTCTTTATGCAAGTCCAAAGCTGCAGGTAAAGGCATGCTACAATGACATGCTACATGGCAATGCACACTTGTTTTTACATAGTAAAAACCCATGTCTAGTTTTCTTTAGCTGTTTGTTTAGTTTTTGTCTCAGAATCTACATTTTAGATAAAATGAAAGTTTTCATCATGTTTCTGTGTGTTGTTTATTATTATAAATCCAGCCTTCAGCTCTGTATTCACATTGTTTATTGGACCCTCACCCTCATAAACTCCACACTGTTGTTCAGAGGGGTCTCTCTGCGGAACAGAAGCAGGAAGTTTTCCTCCTCAGGCAGCATCAAGGTGGCCAGCTGGAATCAGGAAACACAGTTTTTGTTTTTCATTTAGATTTTTTTTATCATATGTTTTATCTGTTGGAGAATCACATCGAAGCAGGATTTATTTGTTTCACATTTAAATACATAAAATGTAAATTATAAAGATACTTCTTAAAAACCCTAAAAGGTTTGGACTAATTGAAAAGTAGCAGTCGTACCTCTTGGATCTGCAGGTTTCCACCTGCTGCAGTGTGATGAGCTGACATCAAGCTTTCTTTCACTTTTCTAATTTTCTCCTCAGTTATCCCCTCCGCCTGAAAAAGATTTGCATGCTCTGTGTAAAAGTTTCCTTTAAATTAGGTTTTACGCACACTTAAATGACAACCAAACTTAATAATAATAATAATAATAATAAATTAAAAATACAATTTTAAAAAAGCATCTTTGTGTTTCAGATCAACCAGATGAGACATAGCCCAGCCAAACCCAGAACTGTGCAGCCTG